GGGTCTGCAGCAGCTCAGGCCTCTGGTCACGCTCCCTGCCTGCCCCTCTGCCCTCCCCAGGGGGTTCCCGTGGGGTGTGGAGGGGGTGGCTGTCGAGAGGGGGGTGCTGTGGGGGCGCGGCGGGAGGTGCTGACGGTTCTTCCTGCGGGATTCCAGAGCGGGAGCGGGTTCGGGGGGAGCGGGGCCGGCTCCACCCGGGGCTTGGTCAGTCCTGCTGGACTCGGAACGTCTCGTAGTCCTCGGGGATGGTGTCTGGGGAGGGGGAGAGGAGAGCAGAGGGGGAGATGAGGGGCAGGGACAGCCGAAGGAGCTGCTGGGTGATGATGGCCCAGCCCGAAGGCAGAGCGGCCCCAGGGTGTGCCCTGGGCTCTCAGAACCCACCGTTGCAGCGGTAGCGCAGGTTGGACCAGATGATGTTCTCCTGGGAGAAGCAGAAGACTCCGAGGCGTCCCCCTCGCATGGTGGTGTCCAGGACGACGCCCGTGTCCGCCACCACCTCGGGGCCCTCGTAGAAACGGGCCCTGGGGGGACAACAGGGCTGTGAAGGCGAGACCTCCCCGGGAAACGTGGCTGCCCCAACCCTGGGAGCGCCCCAGGCCAGGATGGAGCAGCCTGGGATGGTGGGAGGTGTCCCTGCCCACGTCCCTGGACGAGCTTTGAGGCCCCTTCCGACCCAACCCGTTCCGGGGTTCCACGAGGCTGATTTTCCCTGTGGAATTCCCTGTCCCTCCTCTCCCTTTTGTGTCCAGCCCCCCACCCCGAGCCCAGCAGAGGGAATTCACTGCAAGCCCTCACCTGATGTACCCGACCTGCGGCCGGTGCTGCAGGAACCAGCGATAGGACGTCTTGTCCTTCCAGCCGGAATTCCGAGGGTCTTTCCAGAGCAGTTTGACCTGGTCAGTGGTGTCTCCCGTGTGCCAGAGGGAATTCCGGAGGTATTCACCGGGGCCCGTTTTGGACTTCACCGCCTGGGAGTGGGGAGAGGCCGGGCAGTGCGTGGGAAAAGGAAAAGGCAACAAAAAAAATCCCCCCTGGAATTGTTTTTTTTTTTTCCCCGTGGTTTCTTTACCTTCAGTTGAATTCCAGGTTCGGCTACTGCCCGGAAGGGGTTTGCCTGCCAGTAGGTCTGTTCCATCTGCTTCCACATGACCACGTAGAAGCTGGAGCTGTCCTGGTACCCGAAGATGAAGCCGGCGTAGTCATCGTCCGTGGCCGTGTTGACGTGGAACGTGCCCTCAAAGTCCACCCCGTTGAAGGCTGTGTAACCTGGTGGGGGAACGACCCCTCTGAATGCCGGGACAAAGAGGCTGATCCATTTTTTTGTTATGGATTCAGCTCAGGGGGGTGGATTTTGCCCAGTGAAATCCGAGGGTTTCTTCACTGCGCAGAGTATTTTGGAGGAGGTGGAGTCGATAAAGGCGCGACTGAAACTCGTCAGAGCTGCACTGAGGGGTAATTTTTCCAACGGGGACAAAGGGAATTCCTCACCTACAGCCAGGCCAGGATCGCTGTTCATGGTCTGGACAATCTCCATGCCCTGAGGAAGAGAGGAAAGTTGACTCATTAGTGCAGTTCCAAACGCACCAACCTCCCTCTCGCTCAGTGACCGGCGCTCCGCGACTCAGGCACCACCAAACCCGCAGAGTCTCCTAAGGAAAACTGCAGCCCAGCTGCTCCCACCTGTGCTGGGGCACTCCCCTACCTGGTTGAGGACGATCCAGTTGGGGTCAATCTGCGCGTCCCCCTCGGGGTCCAGCACCACGGTCTGGAACGCCCTGAAGTCGGTCAGGGTCACCTCGGCGTTCTCGGGGCACACGTCGATCCTGTCGATCACCATGTCCCTGTCGAAGTCGTTCTCGCACAGGTTCCCCACGCCATCGCCTGGGGGCACAAGGGCAGGAGCAACCTGAGCTGCCCGTGGGTTCTGTTGCCCCCCTGGCACCGGGGTTTTGCTCAGCTTTGGTGCTCAGGGCAGAGAAACCCCTCAAATCACAGACGCTCCTGCAGGACGGCACTTCCCACGTGTGCTCCTGATGTCAGGGCTGTGGAATCTGAGCCTGTCCCAGGGATCTGAATCCCTGGGGGTCTCCAGAGCTCAGCAGATCCCCTGGGGAGAATCCATTCCCTCACCATCCGAGTCCTCCTGGCCGGGGTTGGGGACCAGCCTGCAGTTGTCGGGGCCCGGGGGTTTCACGTCTGGGATTCCATCGTCATCGTCGTCGTCGTCGCACTCGTCCCCCAGCCCGTCGTTGTCCGTGTCCACCTGGGAGCTGTTGGGCACTGTGGGGCAGTTATCCCGGGAATCCTGGTGCCCATCCCCGTCGCTGGCGAAGAGAAGGGCAGGGAAAGGTTACCAAGGTCCATCCTTCCACTGGCCGCTTTTTTGGGGAGGTGGGTCTGAAGGAAGTTCCACCTCTCTTAACCTCCTAATGTTTTTTACTGGGTGAGGCCAAGCCAGGCTGTCCCTTTTTCTCCCTTCCTCCCCCCAGGATTCCTCGCAGCCTGGTGTGATTTTCGCAGCAGGGTCTCACCTGTCCTGGTTGGTGTCACAGACATCTCCCACCAGGTCGTGATCGGTGTCTTTCTGCCAAAGTAAAGGGAGGATCATTTAAGTTTCCCACAGATCCAGAGGAGGAATGGGCAAGAGAGAGAGCAGAGGGGGAGCTGAGGAGG